TTTTCAGTTTTTTATTTTTAATTCAACTTCTCCTTTTAGGTTTTATATGGCCAGGAAGACATTAACCTTGGTATAACAATATGATGGATTTCTACTGTAACCTGTCTCTTCATTAATTATGGAACACATAGTATTTAACTGTTTTTAAACAATGATGTAATGTAGTTGTTACCTATATAAAATGGCTATTACTGTTCACCGTTAAGTGCTTTAGGCATTTTGCTAGTTATAAGCTACATTGTGACATCTAATTATAAGTTACACTGTGAGATCTTCATGAAGGGATTTGCCAGGGCAAAATGCCTTACCTATTATAACATTTCATCACATTATCTTCCAAATTTCCCAATATTATTATTATAAGGCATAGGGTATTCTTTCAATGTATCTTCTCCTAATTGCCCAATATTTTGACTAGTAAAGGTGGTATACTGTATACTTATATTTCTATGGTGATTGTATATGGTTTTATTTATCCTGGTTAAACACATGTTGCAGATCTAGAAGTTTGTGCAAATCAGGCCCCAGGTGCAAAATCCTACATCCCCTTTCTTGACTTGTCTCCAGACTTGTCCTGATAAATCTCTTATAGAGAAATTTGACAATGTTTGTGTGTGTGTGTGTGTGTGTGTGTGTGTGTGTGTGGGTGTCACATCTTCGGTAATCATGCAGCTATTAAACCAAATGCTTTGGAGTTTAAAAAGAAGCTTTTATTTGAACATAACTAACAAAACATATTTTTTTTAAAAAACAAAACTTTTATCACATGTGCATTTCAATTGAACAAAAATCTTTAAAATATTGTTCAGATACATAGATGAGTCCTTTGAAATTTATATGCTGAAATGTTTGAAACAATTTTGGACTCTTTGTTTTGTGACTGTAAACAAGAACAAAGTTCACTGGTAGCCTTACTGGTAAATGCTACTCGTACCTTCCTGGTAACTACTACTGAGCGATACACATTTATATCAATGATGAATGATGGCATTCAATGTTGACTGATTGTCAGGCTGATTACCACAGTGATAAGATATTGTCAACTGATAAATTTAAGCTTTTTGGACCTACGAACTGGTGCTATTATGTCCAGCTAATTGATGCTGATAAGTTATCTGTAATCAACATTGCAAACCACCTGTACCTTCCTAATGGATCAATGAAATCATACTATCATCTTCAGTTATAATGGTGTAACGTATTGCCAATAAACTTTGGAAAACAAGTGGTATAATCTCACTAGAACAATAATGTTTAACCTTTATTGACATAACTATAACATTGATTTATCAACAAAATAGCCAATCTTGTATGTAACAAAGACATGCTGATAATCAAAGGACGTCAAAACGAAATAATTTAAAAAAGTCTGAAACCTTTTTCTGCTTCTAAACTAAGCTTTACGTTATCAGACAATGTGTGCCACCATCCCAGAACCTTACTCTCTTTTTTGTTCTCTTCACCTATTCTGCTTAAAAAAGTTCATTTCCTATCTCTTGTAAAAATACTTTTATATATGTTTTGATCTGTTTAAAATGTATTTAATACAATAAAATATTATAATATATAGATTGTGCAATAAATTGACTTCGTTATAACTGTATTCAACCAGCTAACTATAGGGCGTTTATTCCCTTGTCTATGGCATTAGAACATAAGACTAGAAAATAATATTTTATTGCATCAGTTGATATTTACATGCCACTATAGCAGCTTTATCGCAGTTAATGTTTTACAGGCTACCCACATGTACGCATTGCGTACCTATTTTTAAAATTTTAGAACTGCATGTTATAATCGTCAATCCGTCAACCGTTTCTATTAACGTGGCAAATGACAAAAAAAGTGTTGTAACTTCAGACTACATTCATGGTTGAGATATTTTGTGTCTCTAGTTGTTGCAATTTGCTGGGAACCATTAAATGATCGCGAGTTAAAATAAATGATAAAATGTTTTGTCTGCATTTTGCTGTTATTTTCACTCCAACTAGACTACACATCAATTACTAACTTTCAACTAAAATCAAAAACCCCTCACTTAAATGGCTCCAACAGTGAATTACGTTTGCAAGAAAAGATGTATAATAATATGATCTATAATCGAGTACCACCAGTACCAACTGAACAAATTTCTCATCATCCTAGAAATTGAATGCGTTGCATATTGATAACAAATGCCCTTTTGATTAAGAAACATTGATAGGAATTCTGATACCACATATTTCAGACAAATCATATCTACCACGATATTAAAGATTGATATGTACTTCAGTACTTGCATGCATGTACAGCTTTTTAACGCCAATTATTGGGTTAGATTTTGAGGTCAAGCCATCTCTTCGAACAGCTCCGTATATGACTTTAATTTCTGAGCTACTTTCTATATAAAGTCCATCATGAAAAAAAAGCCATACTTTTCTAAAATTTAATTTAAAAAAATACGGCTTTCTACTGATTTCCGTTTCTTTTTTACTAAGAACCATCTTGTAGGCCTCTTGCTGCTGATCGTGAATTGCCTTGGAAGTTGCATTGAAGTAAGACTGTGCGGTCTGTGCCATCTGACGAAACAAATTTTAATTCTAGCAAGTTTAAACACCTATTTCCGGTCAGCAGCGCAGTTCACATGCAACCATATAGATGTTGAAATGTTCCAAGTGAACATTTAGTATAGTGGGAAGTCTTGAATGGGTTAAAAAGATTGAAAAAAATGTACTATAAGCGATCGGAAAGCTAAATTTACAATTTCGTCAGTTCAATGATGCTGTCTTTTCTTTGATGTAGGAATTAAACAATTTCCTTTATCTTAGATTTTCTCTGAAGTGGCATCTAAATGGCAGTAAGACCCTTATCAAAAGAAGAATTAAATTTCCTCAAATTAACATCCATCGTTCGCTATGAGTTTCGAAGAATGTTACGTTGGACATTTGTGACATTGTGGAACTCGAAGATTGCACCGTTGCCTGGTTACCAAGAATGGGCCGACACACCTGCAGTCCGCAAACTTCTTGAAACACTCGAAGGCGATGCAACTGCCATACCAAAGAATAAATCGTTCGAGGATTGGGATTTTTTAGAGCTGATTAGTGCAACTATTTACTCCAAGACCTTTGCAATCTGTACGACAACGACCATCAAGACACTCAGTGATCAATTTATAAAGGGGAAGAAACCCAGTCCTTTTCATGCCTCGCTGACCAGTCCAACTGGGAACCTGGATGAAACTATAACATTAGCAATCGACCAAGTTCGACTGCTTAGAAACCGCTTCTGTCATCTTTTCCTGTCAACATGCATCAGCATAACAAAGCCCGATTTCGATTACTATGTTCAACTTGCTAAGAATGCATTTACAGCAGTTGGATGCCTAACACATAAAATTGATTATATTGTTAGTCGTAAGGTGTCAGACCTTCCACATGTAAATGTTCCCAAGTTAAAGAGAGAAGCTTTACGTGAAAGGCAGCGCTTTTTATTAACAATAACGAGGGATTGTCGTAAAAAAGCTTACCATGGTTTTGGTAAAAAAGGTAATTATGACAATAATGAATGGTTACACTTTTTTTCATGTTGTATAAGGCTGTTGCTTACTACGGCCTCCTATAATAATAGTTCGAAGGGTTTTGTCATAATATACTCTTCCTGGAAAAGTCTCGCTGAATAACTTCCTTTTTTAAAGCTCCATAATTAATTTATGTGTTATAATAGAAGATGAAGAGAGAATGCAGGAAGTAGTGAACAAACGGAACGTTCTAAAAAGAAAGTATGTATATAAGATATGCTTTACATCATATCATTAATTTATTTAACTTATGTCGTTCTCTGGTTAACTTTAGTGTCTGCTTAAAATACATATATAGATATATATAGATTACTTCATAGTTGGCAAGTGCGTACGATTTTAAAAATAAATAAGCCGCACAAACGTTCAATCATTCACGATCATATTAACGTTCCGAGTTGGTTTTTGCAATGGATAATAAGAACAATTATCGAATTCTTTATTTGTGATTATCAGAAATTAGCAAGATCTATACTCGCAGGCATCTCTTATGTATTAAATTATATTAGGCATGAGCTAACCCATGCCTAATACAAATAGAAGTAAGAGATGCCTGCGGAGGAGGCTATACGCCCGCGCGACCCCCTGCAGAGGGAGATGCGTTATTTTCCATGGGAAATAACAACTTTAATCACGTGCGGCGCACCTGGACTTCGCCTCGTGAAATATTGACCAGTCTCGAGTCAACAAAACATAAGGTTTCCTTCGGTCGCGGTAAATAAGTGTTAATTATTTGCAAACACCCAAATAATTATTTAATAATTGTTTAATAAGTCGAGTTTAACGTTGATATAAGGAATTGGAAGAACAAGGTAATAATATAATCATGGGTTTTCCTAGATTAGAGGTTTCAAAGTCCATTAAACATCGGAACAAAATCCAGATTTTGAAGGATATGAATGTTGGACAGCTAACTGAGGTAACTTAATTTTATTCTGTATTTTTAAATCTGAAAATAATAGAATTTCGTGAATATAGCGCGAGCATTTTCAACCCTGTCCAAAAAATTAACGTATCTACTAAATCTATGCAATACCTTGCAATCTTTGCCATCCCCGCGATCTTTGGCATTTCACAAGGTGTCTTTGGCATCGCACGCGATCTTAGCCATTCCACAAGGTGTTTTTGCCATCCCACGCGACATTGGTCTTTGCAATCCCACGCGATCTTTGCCATGCCACAAGGTCTTTTCCATCCCATGCGACCTCTTCCATTCCACATGATCATCACTCGCTGTCCAAGTTGTATCTCAGGCGTTCGCGAGTTTCTGCCACCCGCTTTTTTGTGTTAACCATTTATCTTGCCTGAGATTTTTTAATCCGAAAGAAACAATCATAAATCTCACACAAGGTGTACTTATTTCGTCGAACAGTTTACTTGAGTCCGTCGTTACTATGGTTACGGTCCTTTGTTATTTTTACTTTTTCAGCATGCGGCTAACATGATAACCCTGCAGATACAATCGATACCCTGCAAATACAATCTTATCCGGTTAAACTTTGCTGCAGCTTTTCTGAGTTTGGTTGGTCAGAAATTCATCCTAAGTTTTAAACTCCACTGGGATAGCCAAAACTGTTTAGGAATGGGAATATTTTGTCGTCTTAAAGGGCACCGGTTCTATTCACTCTTATGGTTCTATTCACTATTGTTTGTACAGTTATATAGCTAGCCTGCACAGACGACTGCAATCTCGGGGTGAAAATCTACCTATTTTTGAAAGTGTTGCGCGTGAAGGAACTTTGTGTGAAAAATTTCGACCCACTAGTGGAAAACCACATTTAGGGACTAGTTGCTTGAGATATTTTTAGTAAAATATCTGTGAAACTATCCGGAGAACCTGAGTGTGCCATTACTGCCTTTATTGAGAAATCCTGCATTATAGGAATTCGATCTCGGTACATGAGGAAAGTTGCCTGTTTTTGACTTTTTCCATTGTCTGTAGATTGGACCACCGCTGCAATATTTTGCCCCAGAGAGACAGTTAACCCTTGGAACTGGTTCATTTGGCACGTATGTTTACGTAGGAATCTTAGAAGATGGCGACGAAGTGGCTGTAAAAAGGTTATTGCGTCAAGCTGCCGATGAGAATGAAGTTGCTGTTCTCAAACGGATAGACGCAAAGAAATCGCCATATATTCTGAGCTATCGCTATATCCTCGAGGACAAAAACTTTATGTATTTAATTTTGGATCTTTGTGAAGAAACATTGAAAGAATACGTACAGTCACACAGTGTTCCCCACCTGCGAGAAGAAGGCCCGAGGATGATCAAGGAGATCTTACTTGGTGTTAAATTTCTTCATGACCAAGGAATCTTGCACAGAGATCTGAAGCCATCAAATATATTGGTTGATCTAAAAGGTCAGATGAAATTAGCTGACTTCGGACTCAGCCGTGTTTTGAACGAAGATGAAACAACAGTTAAAACTTTTGCGAAAGGAACACGAGGCTGGATGGCTGCCGAAGTTATAGAAGCAGGTAACGGAGAAAGAATGGGACGTTATAAGAAAAAATCTGATATCCAATCGATTGGTATGATTTCCTTTTTCATTTTAACTGGCGGTAGACATCCCTTCGGTGCTACTGTGCAAGAACGTATGACGAATATCTCAAAGGGAAATCCAGTTGACTTAGACGCACTTGATGATTATGGTGACCCCAAACGGTTTGTGACATTGTTGATAAGTCATGATATTGATAGTCGACCATATGCTTGTGAAGCGTTGAAGCATCCTTTTTTGCAAGGCATTGGAGGAACTTTAAATTCCTAAACTTCACACGATATAGCGACTTAGAACTTCAGCGATATAGTTTACCACGCGTCGAACAAATTTTTTTAGTCTAGCAAAAACTCTGTATAACCTAAACGTTCATATAATGAATGCTAATGACAAGGAAATGGCATAAAAAATGCTTTTAAAATTAAATTTTAGAAAAGGAAGTAAGATTGTTAGCTTTTTTTAGTTACTATAAAAGAAACTTAAGTAGCTACTATAAAATAACATTATATTTAACAGCTATAAATATCGCTAGTAATGAGTCGTACGTTTTTTTTAACAAAATCGAAGCTATTGATTTTAAAAATGATTCAACTGATGATCTTGCATGACTTCGACACGTGAATGGATGAACTTTTCCAATAATTTTTTTTATTTATTGTGTCATAAAAGTTGCGCAAAAAGTAAAATAGTTGTTATTGCCAAGTAGAATGTTTTTTTTAGATCTGTTTGTTAAGTAGAAGATTGTTTTTACCCAGAGTTGCAAAAAGAGTTCAACCTTCCTCCGGTAGGATTTCAAGTCTTGAAAACCTTCCTCAAAATGACGCTACGTCACTGAGTCAAGTGGCAACCAGCATAAAGAAATATTTGGTTTTTCGTACATGCATGATGTGCAGATGTTTGAACCTTCCTCACAAACCTCATTCAAAGCAAACCTTCCTCACGGGTGGTATCCGCGTACCCGCAGCTTTTTTGCAACTCTGTTTTTACCCACATTATGTTGGAACGGACGATGAACCTAACAAGATAACGCAGAAATGCTCCCTTGTGGGCGAAGGAAACCGAAACTTCAAATTGTGCAAACAGGGAGTCACCAGTTATTATAAAAGAGAGCTAAATTGTAGGAGCGGGAGATTGTGAGTAGATCGTCAATAGATTGTGAACTGATCGTGAGTAGATTGTGATTAGGACCGAAAATTGAATGTAAACAGATAGAGAATTAAAGGTAAAATAAACGAACCCTTGAATTAAGAACCAGCGTGTGCGAGTTTTGAACGATTGAACATCATGAAATGTGGCATATCAAATTTAATTAAAATGAACAAAAAGCTTTCTCTTTTGCAGAGTGCTCGTCGAAACCACTGTTTTTTTAGGCATTCTTTCATTTCTTCGAAATAATAATAATATTTAATCATTTATATCGCGCCATTTCTTCTAGTAAAAGAATGGCACTTTACACTTTTTATATTTAAAATACTATTTCTATTTACTATACTATATTTACTATACAATACTACAACAATTTACTATTTAGGTCCAACATCCAACAATATTACAATGTTTTGTACGAACTATATACACATCTAAATAAGAAAGCCTTCCATTTATTTTTAAAAATATTTAAAGAAGTTGCATTCCTAATATCATCTGGTAGAGCATTCCACAACATTAGTGCAGCAACAGAGAAAGCTTTTCTCCCATATCTTTTAAGATTAAAATTTGGTGCTACTAAAAGTCCTTTATTCATTGATCTTAAAGATCTCTTCGGCTGATATGGAGTTAAAATGTCTGATAAATATTTCGGTGCTATTCCACTTAGTACCTAAGTATTAAAATCTTAAAATCAATCCTTTCCTTTATTGGAAGCCAATGCAGTTCCTTTAGTACAGGTGTTATACGCTCACGTTTTCTGGCAGCAGTAGGGAGACGAGCGGCAGCATTTTGAACATGTTGTAATTTCTTCATTTGATATTGTGGCAGACCATTCAAAAGTAATTACAATAATCTAATGATGACGTCACAAAAGCGTGGATTAAGGTTTCACAATGTCGTTGAGATAAAAACTTTTTTTAGATGGTAGAAAGCTTTCTTACAGATGGCATTCACCTGTTTGTTCATAGGCATAGTGTTATCAAGCCATACACCAACTTAATGTTCTTCGCAGATCGTTTTCATTCAATTAATTCTGTACCAAAGTGAATGACCTGTAAAGGCTGTTTTCCACTTACGCGTTTTTCATTCGCACGTACACCCACGTCAAAGTCGAAATCCTTATACATGTTACCTTTGAAATAAATAAGTGAATAAATCGAAGGAACTTAGTTTCCTGCTTATTTTAGTATGCATTAGTTGACCTAGATGTTAAATAATAAAAATTGCATCAGCTTTTTCTTACGAATGAATATCGAAGTGATATTATAAGTGCCTTTTCGGAAAGTTCGTGGTCAAAATTGGACGATGGTCAAAGGACACTTGGCGCGCAGTTAGCTTTTCACCTCTTTCAGTTATTAGCTAATGAACTAAGTACCTTGGTGCGGAAGAAAGAAGCTGGTCCGATTCCGTTTAATGTAAGGGATATGAGTCCTGATGGCAGAGGGAAGATACGATATATCGGTGGCTGGGCTGTGCGAAAAGCACTTCAAAAATCACGAAGGTATGTTTTTAAATATATATAACAACGTGCTTTTCCCGAAAGTATTTTTTTAATCTCTAGTAGGCAATTCCCATAACAGAATTTTTTTTCATAATAATTTTTTATTTTCCGCGTTTAAAACATTTTACAACCAAACTTTGCATCAGTTAATCTATTATCGTAATTGTCTATACGGCACCAATGTGTATATATGATCTAAACCTACTATATTTTCCAGGTACCTCCTTGAGAACAAATTGTCACAAACACCACTAGTGAGGAGAAAGCTAAAATCAGAACTTGAAAAGATTAAATTGCTTGAAGAAAATGTCATTGTCCCTTACGAAAGCTTACAAAACACCTCTTCAAGTTTAGAGTCCACAACCATCACAGAATCCTTACAATATCGCGAAAGGGGTCTGCTCCACATCAGTGATGAAACCTTTGATTTTTTTCTATCGCTGGAACAAGCTAGTGAGAAAATTAATCTGGAAAAGTTAGGTTCCTGCCAAAATATATGGTGAATAACGCAATGAAAGAAGTCTGGGAAAATGAAATCTCCAAAAAAAAGTTTGATCAATTATTTAATGTTGCAGGAAATTCTGTAAGTGGGTATCTACAGGTTAAGTTGGTATAGCGGAAATGAATATAGTAAGCATACGACGGATTATAGGTTATTGGATATTATTTTATTTACAAACTGTGATTTGTGAAAATACCTTATTTTATAGATTTTAATTAAAGAAATCTACAAGGAAGTAACCACACGCTATTTTAGAATGGGCGCAGGTCAGTTTCTGCGAGATTTTCGCAGGGACTACCACGTGAAGAAGTCTCTGGCACATAGGAAAGCCATTATGGTAAGAAAAGAAAAGTTGCGAAGGCGGAAGATGAAAGTGGACTTAGCGAACATAAATCAGGATAAGAGCGCCGGGAAGAAAGTTTCGCACGCCAAATTGGTAGCACTTGTGGATGAGCTAAATGTGGAAGGATTGGTTTCTCTCTACAAGAAAAAAGAGCTGCAGATTTTATGCGACGCATATGCTTGTAGATTCTTGTCCAAATGGAATAAGAAACAACTGGCTGCATCGCTGTTCGAAGGAATCCATATGCATCAGCATATGCCTTGCCATCAGATAACCTCAACCTATTACGTCCATGTTGTTGGTGATGTGGAAAACGCAAACACGGTACCTGTGTTACGGTTACATCGAGTTTAATTATGCGCATGAGAAATGGAATAGAGCTTTACTATACCAGGCATTCTGAAAATCCGTGCGCAAACATTCTAAATTCAGTGAAATTTAAAATTTTAAATTTAAAATTTAAATTTTTTTAATTTAAATTTAAAATTCAGTGAAAGTTAAATCCGTGGCGTTACATTTTTAGACATATAATTTATTATACTTTATTAGTGTTGTTACATGGTGTAATATTTTTCATTGATTAATTGATTAACATTTGAAAACTAGTCCAGTTTGTCCCGTTCTGCTGTTATTTTCCCCCTTCTTTCCAAACACTTTATCCTTAGGCAATTGCACAAAAGAATCATTCTTTGTACATCCCGTGTTACACTTTACGCTAACTGTTGTTTGACCAAATATCACTGAGTTTTGGGTTGCTTGCACTAGTTGGTACGACGGGTTTTCGTTTTGCCCATTTGCGCCTCGTAGCTGGGAAAAGTGGTTCTCTAGTACATCCTGATTCAAAATAGCTGGTTTAATGAGTGAACCTGGAAAACGGTTCAATTTGGTCTTCACTAGGGAAACGAAACCAAGAATCATAGATTGGAGATCAAACCACAGTTTATGAGAAATGAACTCGTTCTCTGCCGATGCATTTTTCTTCCAGTCGGAGAAATACTGCAGGACTCCACATAGTTTTGAAAGACGGTCATCGTTTATGTCGTAAATGACTTGCTTGTCTGAGAAAAACTCAACAATAAAACTCGTATGTCGAAGAAATTGTATGGTAGCATTCAGTTTCTCCGATGACGGATCTCCTATACACGCGAGATGATCTTGGTAGGCCTAAAATAATATTTTTAGGTTATTAGCAACATTTGCATATAATGTAATATAGAAAAATTTATATACCTTCATGAGAATTAACATTTTCCTGTCTAAAACGTCTTCTGCCAAAGTATTACGCATTCTTGAGCATGGGTTTAGTTGGAAATGATCCTCAGTTAATTTTTCGTGAATATGGCATGAATTTTCGTTTTGGTCCCACATATACGCCTCTTTCCAGTAAGACCAGAATATAGACTGGCCATTAACAGTCAGCATTCTTGTTGTACCATGAGAAGAGCTCTTTTCCAAATTGTTACGAATCTTTTTTACGTTGTGCTAAAAAGATAATAGTAAGTATTAAACATTAAACCTGAATGCTATTACGACACTCACAGGTAATACCAGCATCGAGTGAAAAATAGCAGTGTTTTTTAAATACCTTTGGATCCATCATTAATACCATTGGGTCCTCCGTCAGCATATTGTAAGCATTAAAGTGAAGATCCACCGGACTGCAATTATCGAAATGGATCTTGATGAACTGCCTATTTGACTCGCCCCCATCACATATTAAAAAATGGATGCTAAAAGAATGAAACAATTTATTGCGTTTCGTAGTGAAATCTTAC